TGCTGATATAGCCACCAGCCAACAAACTTTGTCCTTACATGACATTCACTTTTATGATCTTTCTCCCCCCTCCAAATTCAACTTCAAATTCAACCAAAGTAACGTAGAAAGTCACTGTTGATGTAAACACTTTTTTATTTGTATTATCTTTCTAATTGTCCATGGAATACAACTGTGATTATACATAAAAGTTGTAATTAATTCCTCATGGTTAGAGTAATATTTCAATATCACCTCTTCATAATTTTGCTGTTGTTGATCCTCTCTTGGTTTAAGTTGTTCTTATATTATCATAAACCCTTTAACTGATTGTTTTGTCACGTAATTTTTACTTTATACTATATTTTCTTTTAGTGAAGTGACGATAAAATAAAAATTGAATAAAAATAAATGTGTGTGTTTGAATGAAAATATTGTTTTCAGCACAGTTTTCAGTCAGGACTACTTTGGGTAAACCAAAATATTGAAGCAATTGAACATATTAAAATTATTTAATATTTATTTATTACATAATGTAATTGGTTAACACACATAACTGTTAGTGGTTTATTACATAATTAGTCCTTAGTCATGTTAAGCAATGTGAACAGTGCAAAATATTGGTACCATGCCTCGGACTATCACTAGACAAGCTACCTGGAAAAGATGCCCAATGGTTGTGCTCACTGTAGTTAAACAGTGGAACCTAACGCCACTTTTAAAATTGTAATGTCTTACATTAAGAATACTTGATAAACTGGCTAAACTTTGTTCATTAAATAATATCTGCAGAAACTTCTGCTTTATTGTCCTTGTTGCAATATAGATTACCACTGTATACAGTTAAAGACCCAAGGACCAGATATGATTAATTAAAACCAGGAGTTAGTCAGTCAATTTAAGACAAGAGTCAGAATTATAATAAATTAATGAAAGATTTACTAAAGATAGTTTGTAGTTTCATCTAGGGGTGGGCGATATGGCAAAAATATCATATCACGATTTTTTTCAGGAAAATCACGATTAACGATTTTATCACGATTCTTTTTCATGTTGGTTTTACTATTTTGCAAGTGACTGAGCATTACAGCCAAACTAATGTCCCTATTTAAAAAAAAAAAAAAGCCTTATAGGTAACAAAAGAAAAAAGAATGGCAGACATTTAGGCCAAAGTGGCGAAGATAAAAATCTTTATCATTATTTTCTTTGTTATTAAGAATTAGGAACAAAGATACACATTAAGCATACACAACTTAATATACAAATGAAATAAACAGTGCTTTATTTTTTTCAGCTACAGTAGGGGTATTTAACAGTAGCATTGAAGAAAGTAATTAGGCTAAATGAACAAATACGAAAATAAAACACAACATAGACTTCACTGTATAAATTATACATTGATTATTATTAAAGCTACTACTAAAGTTCTCAGTCAAGAGCAGTGAGTGATTTCCTCTTTGTGTTTTGTTGTTTTATTAACATTAAAGGGATAGTTCTCCCAAACATTTTAATTGTCATCATTTACTCTCTCAAGTTGTTTTAAACCCGAATAAGTTTCTTTCTTCTGTTGAAAATAAAAGTTATTTGGAAGAATGTGGCTAACCAAACAGTTGCTGTACTCCAGTGACTTCCATAGTATGTTTTCCTACTATGGAAGTCAATGGGGACCAGCAACTGTTTGGTTAGCCACATTCTTCCAAATAACTTTTATTTTCAACAGAAGAAAGAAATTAATACAGGTTTGGAACAACATTAGAGTGAGTAAATAATGACAGAATTTTTATTTTTGGGTGAACTATCTCTTTAAGGACAAGAGGCAGCTTGTTTACTAACTGGCTACTGTCGCTTTAAGAGCTGCACGCGACGCGTCTAATGTACGCATTTGACAAGCAGATTTTCTCTCATTTTTTCTGTTTGCTTTCACTTTAGACATAACCAACTTTGTTTATGTAAACCTTGTGTGTATTTGACAATATTAGCGCAATAAGACTCGAAAGATAACTTATAACGTAGTCCAGTAAACAGACGCTGTTAGACAGGCTTTTAGTGCCCGTGTGCTTCGGGTGTATGCGCTCAGAAAGCACACGTCAGAACAGCGCATCAGCACGTGAATTACATGTTTAACCAGCAAGGCTTTAAAGCACATGCAAATAATGAACTTCTGTGAACTGCAGTGTCCCGTTCCTCTGCGTTAACATTTGTTGTATGTTGAGACGGAGCTAGGCGCCAGAACTGCAACTGATAAAATGCACGATACTACGATATTTCTTCAAAAGCAGATCGTGGAGACATTTTAATCGTCCACGATCAAAAACCGTGATATCGCACACCCCTAGTTTCATCATGCAAAAGTTAGCTTCAAGACTCACAAGGAGTTTGTAGGCCGCTCTGTTACAGTTACAAAGATCATAGCAATTATACCCTTCATTATACCCTGGGGTGGTGATGGTGCAGTGGATAAGACACATGCCTTTGGTGTGAGAGACCCGGGTTCGAATCCACTATGAGACACCAATGTGTCCCTGAGCAAGACACTTAACCCCTAGTTGCTCCAGAGGCGTGCGACCTCTGACATATATAGCAATTGTAAGTCGCTTTGGATAAAAGCGTCAGCTAAATGAATAAATGTAATGTAAATGTTCACCAAGGTCTAAGCTAAATCAACTGATATGACAAGAAATGAAGTCTATGAACTGAAGTCTTCATAACCTCTGTCAAGATATGAAGTCCTTCTAAACCTCTGTCACTCCATCTATGTCTGACTCCGGTTTGACAATAAAAGGCTAAACGTTTTTGAAATTTTCAGTGCATGTTTGTTTGAGGTAAAAGGACAGAAACTCAGGAGGCTCCGCCCCCTGTGCTGGGAGCAGCAGCTCATTTGCATTTCAAGTTTTTCTTTCCTTCAGTGATTTTGCTTGTTAACAGCAGGTGTTCATCACTAATGAACTATATTATTGAACTGTGTTGTACTACTTTCATGTTATCACTGTGAAGCTGCTTTGATGCAATCTGTATTGTGAAAAGCGCTATATAAATAAATGTGACTTGACTTGACTTGACTAATGCTCAATCATCACTTAATTAGTCACTTAAATAATTGCTTAACTTCTTGACTGCAATGTATATCTTCTTTTAGTTTTTAAAATTAAATTAAGGTAATCGGTGTCCTCAAATGTAATGAGTTAGCTTAACATAAAGGATTTGACTTTGTGTGTGATATTGTGAGCTAGTAGTAACTACAAGCACTTAAAAGTTCATTTAAAGTTTGTAATTTCGCTGTTTTTACTCAACATAGATATTTAAAGATATTTAAATGCAGAAGTTTAATTGTGTATTAAGAAATATCCTTGTTTTAGTGGACTTAATTAAAATAAGTTCAGAGTACTCATAACTATTGTTTTTATAAACTTAATTGAATTGAGGTAATCGGTCTCAACTGAAATGAGTTAGCTTAACGTGTTGGGTTTTACAGTGCACCTCTCAGATATTCAATACAGACATTAGAGAATACATGAAATAACATTTTCGATAATCACACTGGTAATTTCTATAACAAAGTACAATCTCATAAGCCTAGAGAAGTCATTCAACTCATTTGATATTTAGAAGGAAAATATTTATCAATACCTTGATTAAATTTGTCATTAAATATACATTGAAGCAGCAATGGATTCCAGATTTAAATCATTACAATAAGATTGTTGCTTATTTATAACGTTAAAAATATGATTAAGCTAAAATCTTTACAGTTTTTAATCAATGAACGAAATCTGTTGTACCAGGAACAGCAGTTCTAATACCTACTTCAAAATTAATTGAGTAGAGTGATCACTAGGAACATACTATAACCTTTAGAACATGAAAAAACACTTAAGGTGAATTACAGTAATTCTTTCATAAAAAAATGTGTATGTACTGTACTTACAGTAAGGCAGGTATTGGCAATATTTAACCTTTAGTAAGTTAGTCTGATCACTAGGAACATTCTCCAACCTTTGAAACACGAAAAGAATGCTTTAGGGGAAATACAGTAAATTTTTTTAATAAACATTTGATAATTGTACGTACAGTATGCGAGTTATTGTGGAAATTTCACCTGTAGTAAGTCACACTGGTCATTAGGAAAGCACTACAGCCTTTGGAATATATATAAAAAAACACTATAGGTGAATTAGAGTTTATTACATAAACATATGTAATAATATGTTTATTACATAAACATATTTGACTATTGTACGTACAGTAAGGGAGGTATTGTAAAAATTTCACCTGTAGTAAGTCACAGTGGTCATTAGGAAAGCACTACACCCTTTGGAACATGAAAAAATACTTTAGGTGAATTACAGTATTTTTTTCATAAACATATTTGACTATTGTATGTACAGTAAGGGAGGTATTGTCAAAATTTCACCTGTAGTAAGTCACAGTGGTCATTAGGAAAGCACTACGCCCTTTGGAACATGAAAAAATACTTTAGGTGAATTACAGTATTTTTTTCATAAACATATTTGACTATTGTACGTACAGTAAGGGAGGTATTGTCAAAATTTCACCTGTAGTAAGTCAGTCTGATGATTAGGAAAGCACTACGCCCTTTGGAACACGAAAAAATACTTTAGGTGAATTACATGTAGTTGTCTGTTTGCACACAATGAAAAAAAATACAACTTTTTAGACGGTCCCTATCTTGTTTACCATACGACATTGGACATTCAGTGGACATTCGCAAGTAAGTATGCCATTAAAACATACTTGCCCATTTTGATTTCGATTGTGGAAAATGTTGTAGTTGACCATCTTTGTTGTCAAGATCATGTAGCTGCTTCTAATTTGCAAAAATGTGCTTTATTGCACTTATTATTGAGAACGTTCTTAAGCAAAAAAGGCTAAATGTGTGAATATAAGACCAACTTTACCTAAGTCATTAAAAATACTACATATGGATGAGTTCATACGGATGAAAGCCTGTTGTGTTCGGTCTCTTGATTTGTGATAGTGGCAGCTATTGTGAAACTTACCTTCTTCATGTACTGAGTGTGGATGGCATCAAGATCTTGTCCTGAAGAATCACAGGCCCAAACGCTAGGGATTATACCTCATCTGGTGACAAGAGCATAGCCATAACTTTAAGAACTCTAATGATATCTTTACCCCTGATATTGCATTGGGGATATAAATTCAAACATTTTAAAGGCTAAGAGTATGAGCCACGAGTAAGCTGGCCAGATATCTGTGAAAAATAACTTACGTGCCTAAAGTTGTCGACCCCCTGACCAACATTCAGCATTTATAAGTAAAAATAATTTCAGTATTTATCAATAAAACATACATACAAATAAATAAATACCTTTGAGTTGGACAGTATGGTGTCTGTCTCATTGGCCAACATAATTCAAGACAGACCTAGAGAAATAAAATAAAACATACCAATGACCATGATATTATCATAATAGTTAAATGAATTATTATAACTATGACCATTATATTTGTCACTTATTATTAGCTGATTATCTAGCCTACAGGCTTCTCAAGGACAATTTCACTGAAAAAACCTGGGGTTAATGATTTCTAAAATGTGAGACTTCTTTCAAAAGCATAAATCTTACAAACCCCAAACTTTTGAACAGTAGAGCACTGTATGTTTGAGGTTTTGCTTACTAATCATATGGTTCATAGCCGTGGAGATTGTCTTGGACAGGGGGTGCAGCAGGCCATCAACATGATGATCTAGGAACAGAACATGCAATTTGTCACAGAGCCAACAATGTTAAATAGGATTTACAATAGAACATAGGGTTTATTACAAGGAACCAAGCTAGGCAGAGGTGAAATGCAGAAAAGAGAAAGAATAATATATATATATACACTCACCGGCCACTTTATTAGGTACCCCATGCTAGTAACGGGTTGGACCCCCTTTTGCCTTCAGAACTGCCTCAATTCTTCGTGGCATAGATTCAACAAGGTGCTGGAAGCATTCCTCAGGGAGTTTGGTCCATATTGACATGATGGCATCACACAGTTGCCGCAGATTTGTCGGCTGCACATCCATGATGCGAAACTCCCGTTCCACCACATCCCAAAGATGCTCTATTGGGTTGAGATCTGGTGACTGTGGAGGCCATTTTAGTACAGTGAACTCATTGTCATGTTCAAGAAACCAATTTGAAATGATTAGAGCTTTGTGACATGGTGGAAGTAGCCATCAGAGGATGGGTACATGGTGGCCATAAAGGGATGGACATGGTCAGAAACTATGCTCAGGTAGGCCGTGGCATTTAAACGATGCCCAATTGGCACTAAGGGGCCTAAAGTGTGCCAGGAAAACATCCCCCACACCATTACACCACCACCACCAGCCTGCACAGTGGTAACAAGGCATGATGGTTCCATGTTCTCATTCTGTTTACGCCAAATTCTGACTCTAACATCTGAATGTCTCAACAGAAATCGAGACTCATCAGACCAGGCAACATTTTTCCAGTCTTCAACTGTTCAATTTTGGTGAGCTCTTGCAAATTGTAGCCTCTTTTTCCTATTTGTAGTGGAGATGAGTGGTACCCGGTGGAGTCTTCTGCTGTTGTAGCCCATCCGCCTCAAGGTTGTGCGTGTTGTGGCTTCACAAATGCTTTGCTGCATACCTCGGTTGTAACGAGTGGTTATTTCAGTCACTGTTGCCCTTCTATCAGCTCGAACCAGTCTGGCCATTCTCCTCTGACCTCTGGCATCAACAAGGCATTTCCGCCCACAGAACTGCCGCTCACTGGATGTTTTTTCTTTTTCGGACCATTCTCTGTAAACCCTAGAGATGGTTGTGTGTGAAAATCCCAGTAGATTAGCAGTTTCTGAAATACTCAGACCAGCCCTTCTGGCACCAACAATCATGCCACGTTCAAAGTCACTCAAATCAACTTTCTTCCCCATACTGATGCTCGGTTTGAACTGCAGGAGATTGTCTTGACCATGTCTACATGCCTAAATGCACTGAGTTGCCGCCATGTGATTGGCTGCTTAGAAATTAAGTGTTAACGAGCAGTTGGACAGGTGTACCTAATAAAGTGGCCGGTGAGTGTATATATAATCTTAAGATAATAGATATTGTGAAATAAATGCATATGAAATTATTATGATGATGATTAAACAATAATTCACCCTTTATTGTAGAGTTTTTTTTTTTTTTTTTGAAACAATTTTTTTTTTTTTTTTTTTTTTATTGCAGAAAATTAACATACAAATAACAATATATGAACAGACAAGACAAAAAAAAATAAAAAAAAATAAAGAAAGCATAGCTCACATTCAATTTTAACAAATAAGGATATTACAAAACACCAGAGGTATTGAAGAGTGTATCATAGCATTTTAAATATTTCACAGATTTTTTGTTTTTTAACAGTCTTATTGAAGAAATGTAACAATCAAAGTCAGAACAAAACAAATTTAACACAGGAGATGAATTAAGAAATTTTTGTTTATGTATGTGAAATTTTGCTAACAAAATAAAAAGGTTAACAATAAATTCCAGATCCTTATTGCTTTTATTTTCATAATACACGGTAACATCCTTTAAAGTAAAGCAATAATTAATATTCATCAGATTAAATATAAAATCTGCCAAATCAGTCCAAAACTGGTTCACGACTTTACAGTCAAAAAATAAGTGAGTCAGTATCTCTTTCTCATTATTACAAAAACAGCACATATCATCAATATCAGAAAATTTTGATATTAAAGATTTAGAAGGATAAATGGTATGTAGAATTTTGTAGTGTATTTCTTTTATTTTGTTATTAATACAGTATTTGAAGGGAATTAACCAAGCTCTTCTCCATTCAATATTTTCAATCTTAGAGTTCCAAAAAAATTTCCCTCTAGGAGATATTTTGTTTTGTTTTTGGAAGATATTACAAATATGTTTGTTATTGCATTTTTTCTCAAGTAAAGCAACACCTTCTAAAATTAAATTTGGGTTTGTCACAGATAAAGAATTGTAACAAATATGACATTTGACAAGTTGACGAAGTGTTACAGGAATAGCTTTAATAACGGAGTTAAATTCTCTAAACTGTACGGGAAAATTGTAAGTTGACATGAATTGTTCGTAAGTTAAAAGATTCCCAGAATTGTCAAACATTTTTATAAGATGATTAATGTCTCTGTTGAACCAATTTGTTAAAAACAAGGATTTATTGGAAACAGTTATATTCCCATTATTCCAAATTATGGAGGTGTGAGGAGAGAAATTGTGACAGTAACAAATTTTCCAAGCGAGAAGAGCTTGCTGATGAAATTTGGATAATTTGAGGGGGATTTTAGAAATTTTATAATCACATGTTAACAGAAATTTCAAGCCACCAATTTGATTAAAGAGACTATGAGGAATATGGTTCCAAAGAGAATTAGGGGTGATCAAACATCTCTTAAGCCAGTTAACCTTAAAGGTCTTATTTACATCCTCAAAATAAAGCATCTCCAGGCCTCCTTCAGCCTTCTTATTAGTGAGAACCCTTTTTTTAAGTCTTTGGGATTTATTTTTCCAAACAAAAGAGAAGAATAAATTATTAATATCTTTGCAGTTAGAATCTTTAACATGCAGTGATAGAGCGGGATAAACAAATCGAGATAAGCCTTCCGCTTTGGATAATAAGACACGACCGTAAATGGAAAGATCACGTTGTAACCAGCAATTTAACACTACTTTTGTCTTCTTTAATCTAGAAGAAAAATTTAGGTTTTGCCTTTCATGAAAAATTTTTGTAACAAAAATTCCTAAGTATTTGACAGAGGATTTAACTGGAATGTTCATTATATGTTTATCATTTAAATTGTGTAAAGGGAGGATTTCACATTTAGATAAATTTAACGTTAAACCAGAAGCCCTTGAAAAAAGATTGATGAAGGAAATAGCATGAGGAATAAAGGACACGTTCTTTAAAAACAAAGTAGAGTCATCTGCCAATTGGGATATCTTAAGTACCTTATCAAAAATTTTAAGACCTTGGATTTGATCATTATTGACAATACCGATTGATAATAATTCAACTACTAATAAAAATAAAAAGGGGGAGATTGGGCAACCTTGACGCACTCCGCGATTAATATTGAATCTTTTAGTGGTGGAGGTATTAAGAATCACAGAGCTAGTGATATCAGTGTAGAACATCTTAACAATATTTAGAAAATTGTTTCCAAAACCAAAAAGTTCTATAGTTTTAAATAAAAAATTGTGTTCAACGGTGTCGAATGCCTTAAAAAAATCCAAAAAAAGAATGATAGCACCATCTTCTACACTATCAGCATAGTCCAAAAGGTCAAGCACTAGTCTAATATTATTAGTTATATGACGACCTTTTAGAAAGCCTGTTTGATATTCACTGATTATATTATTTAACCCTTTTTGTAATCTGTTAGCAAATACTGAAGTAATTAATTTATAATCAACTGTAAGAAGGGAGATCGGCCTCCAATTTTCTAGAAGATGTGGGTCTTTATTAGCCTGGTTCTACCAGACTCTCGTACATTTCATTTGTACAGAGAGTCTGGCCTCGCTCCATTGAGAAACGTTTACTTCCTTGTAGGCGGGTTCTCTGTTAAAGTTCAAAACTATTGGATCTGCCCAGCGTCACTCAGGATCTGCCATAGCCAATCGCTAACGTGTGGTCGTGACGTATGTCATGCGCTGAAACCGGCTGGAAACAACAAGTCCGAATTCCATATTCATAAATCTAAATGCTAAACCTCTCTTTCTTATATTTGTGAAAGAATTTTAAAAATACCTCTTTTCAATTAAGTTGTCTGAGAACAAAAAAAGCCTTAAAAACATTATCTGTTTGTAATTATTTTCCTTTTTTCAGTGTCATGTAATTCTCTTAACTTGTTCATGTTTATTTTATATTATCCCCCTACTGTTTTATTTTTGTTTTGTTTTTATTATTATTTTTTGTTTGTTTTTGTATTATGTTTTCTGTTATTACTTGTGTATTGTTTTAAGCAATAAAAAAAAAACAAGTCCGAATGATCAGAGGATTATGTTTAGAATAAGATGTCTGTCAACGAGAGCTGCATGTTTTGTTCATCGAATTTAAGAGTTCAAGGAACAATTCTAAATTCTAAATGTATATTTGACACTAAGGACAGTAATGTATTCAGTCAACTGTCGAAGCTGGGTGTAATCATTAACAATACGCCGCTGCGGTCGTTTCGGATCTGCCGCAAATGCTGTACAGTGATCATCGTGCACGCCGAGCTGCCCAGCACCAACTCCTAACCTTTCTGCCTCCCTCACTTGGTCCTCCATTAGTGCAACAAGAGGAGACGACAACAACTATCGGCTTTGCATCCTATCGTTCGCCTTAGCTAACTCATTCACCACTAGCGGAGTGAGCTGGAAAATTAAACTTTTCCCGAACCCCGTGGGGAGGAGGGCCACAACATCATGGCCACCAACAACACTTAGCAAACATTGATCTTGCTCCGGCTTTAACTTCTGGATATTCGGCAGTTTTGCAACAACGGACCGAATAGATTTTCTCACGTCTTTCTCCGCTGCCATTACTGAACTCCAACTCAAACTGACGCGCTACATCAACGTCATCGTTCTCAGCCACTCCCTCTGTTCGCTGATTGGACCGGTAAAAAAATTATTTCTGGAAACCAAAGTCTACAGCACAATCCCAGACGTAGTACTGAAGGAAAATAAAATTGAGCGGAAGTGCGTAGGAGGGCGGAGCCAGGCTAGGTCTTTATCAGGTTTGGCAATTAACGAAATAACTCCCTGTTTCATGGTAGCAGACATTTCACCACTATTAATACATTCAATTAACATATTATAAAAAGGGTT